GACCTTCTCAAAGCTGGCTTCTTGGCTTTCTTCTGTGTAGATAAAAACATTGCATGCTTCATGTTCTATTTGCGAATAAACCCTTACTAAAAATTTCCTTCTCGTGTTCATGATTTGAGCCTTACTGGCCTGCTGTTTTCTCTTAATTTCAACTAAACAGTTTTGGTGCTTGGCTTCGGAAATTCCAGCCATTCCAAACTGCCAGTGAAAGAAATCTCAGCACGATAAGAAGGAGAAAAGGCTCTGTCATCCATCTGACAGCTGTAGAAAAGCACATACAATCCTCAGGGCCTTTGCACATGCTGTTCCCTCTATCTGGAACACCCTTCCCTTCCTCTTTGCCTAGTGAACTCTTATCATCCTTCAGATCTCACCTCCAGTGTCGCTTCCTCAGCAAACCTCTGACTCTGACATCATTTCCTTTGTTGCAACTCTCATCAGACTACGTTCCCTTCCCTCAGAACACTTAGCCCTATTTGTAAACAAATACACTTGTTTCTGAGCGTGTTTGTTCCATGTCGGTCTCTCTCAGTACTCAGAGTCTCCTGTAGGCAGGGCCCGGGCCTGTGTGTGTCCACCCTGTTCTCCCCAACATCCAACCCAGCGCCCAGCACGCCACTGGTGCTTGACACATATTTGATGAAGGTTGAATGAAAGGGGCTGTTTGCCCGTGTACCAGTCAGCCTTTGCTGCGAGACAACCCACCCCAAAACCTAGAGGCTGAAAACAACAACCACATACTATGCTCGTGATTCTATGGGTGGTTCTGGTGGTCTGGGTTGGGCTTTTCCACACATCCCTACTGACTCCGGGCATCTGAAGGACCCCTCTAGAGCTTGAGGTTTTATGGGCCACCAAGCCCACACACACACACACGTACCTTGGGAGAACGAGTGGAGAGCACACGCATCTTTTATTTTGGCTTTTAAAAAGGAAAAACCCAACCCACCATTACACCGACCATGATTTCCTAAGAAAAGGACAGCTGAATCGCGCCAAAGTAGGGAGGAGCAGGAATGAGTTACAGAGAAAAAAAGACACTTCTCTATTGCACACACACAGCCAATGGATATGAGAATCTTTGCTGTATTGTGGAAGGACTGACATGGAATTCTATAGATAGAGCTCTAAGAGCTCTGAGAACTGGAAAAGAGAGAGAGAAAGGAAGGGAGGAAGGAAGGAAGGAAGGAAGGAAGGAAGGAAGAAAGACTTTAACCAGAAAATCCTCCCAGGGCTCGCTATTTCCCCCAGACCAAAAGCCAAAGTCATTACAAAAACTCAAGGCCCGATGATCTGCCCCATTAACTTTCTGACCTTGATTCCTATTACTTCCTTCTTTGCTCACTGGTTTCCAGTCACACGGGCCTCAGGGCCTTTGCATGGGCTGTTGCTTCTTCCTGAAATGCTCTTCCCCCATATATCTGCAGGTTGCACAACTTCACCTCCTTTCAATCTTTCCCCAGGTCACCAGCTCTATTCACCAGCTCTGGTGGGAACCAGCCCACCACCCAGTACTCCAGATCCCTCTACCGTCTTTGTTTATTATGTCTGTTGTTTATTTCTGTTCCCCTCTAGAAAATGTGTCTGTTTGTTCATCTGTGTTATCCCAAGTACCTAGAACAGTGCCTGGCACATAGTAGGTCTTCAACACATGTTTGTTGATTGAGTACAGTCTTGAATCATTGGAAATTGGGCAAAGTGTATATTTACACCATTCACACAAGAGCAAATTGAAAAGCCTTTCAAACTTAAGAGGCCCAAATTCCCTAATAGTTTGGGAATGTGACTTGAAGTAACAAAAAATAGTGCTTCTCACCCATCAGCCTGGAAAAGATTTGTAAATTTGAATATCTGCTCGTGCTGTGTCTGGGTAAGAAACTGGAATCCCTCTAGATACATCTTGGACTTCCCAGACTCCAGAACCATGGGAAATAAATGTTTGCTGTTTAAACCACCCAGTATTTGGTATTTTTGTCACAGCAGCCCAGACAGACTAAGATAGCCGTCTTGTAATCTTCAAATCTCATATTAGTACCTTCCAATGGAAAAGTGGCATTGGAAGATGCTGACAGAGGAATCTGAGATATGTAGTTTCCAGGCTTCCAGCCCCAGAAGAACATGGAATAAAAAAAGAAAAAATAGAAAGTCTCTAGCAGATGCAGGAACAGCTATTGCCGATGGAGATGTGGGAGAAAGGATGCTTACACGTTAATGAATACTCCAGTCTTTTTGGAAAGCAATCTCACAACATCAATTACAAACACACAGCCTAAGCCACTATGGAAAACTACTCAGCCATAAGAAACGATGAAATCCAGCCACTTGTGACAACATGGATGGACATTGAGGGTATGACGGCAAGCGAATTAAGTCAGAGGGAGAAGGTCAAATACCATACAATCTCGCTCATAAGTAGAAGACACAAACAACAACAAACAATCACATAGAGACAGAGACTGGATTGGTGGTTACCAGAGGGGACGCGGGAAGGGATGGGGAGCGAAAGGGGTGATTAGGCACATATGTGTGGTGATGGGTTTGTCTTTGGATGGTGAACGTGATGTAATCTTTTTATTTTTTTATTTTTTTATTTACTTTTCCCCCAAAGCTATGTATGTCATAGCTGCACATCCTTCTAGTTGCTGTATGTGGGACACGGCCTCAGCACGGCGGGAGAAGCGGTGCATCGGTGCGAGCCCGGGATCCGAACCCAGGCCGCCAGCAGCGGAGCACGAGCGCTTAACCGCTAAGCCACGGGGCCAGCCCGAACGTGATGTAATCTATACAGAAATCGAAAGATGATGTACACCTGAAATTTATATAATGTTATAGACTAATGTTACGGCAATAAAAAATGATAATGAAAACAAGCAAACAAACAAGCACGAGCCTATTAACCTAGTAATTCTAATCTGAGAATCTAGCCCATACAACTTCAAAAAAAAAGATTGTCCCTGTATCAAGGAAAGCGAGCAGTTCCCGAAACTCTCAGCTGCCCCTGGTCGTCCAGAACAGCTGCAGGGTCACTGGGGCAGCAGGTCATTCTATCTGGGCCCATCGCAGCCCTGAACAAACTTGGGCTTTTGATGGCAAGAAGGGGAAATGGATACTGGGTAGGAGGCCAGTAGCGTCTGCCACAAAAAAGAAGGAAAACCCCAAAATGGAGGAAAACGGCTACATTCAGCTTAGTAAACACTCACTACACGGTCCCCGTTTACCCAAGAGCTGGGGAAGATTTCCCCCTTAGTCTGCAAACTCCTACTTCAGGACTGTTTGCTTACTTACTCATTTAACAGACACAAAACACCAGTTCTGTGTTGGGCGCAGTGCAGATACGAACTCACGTTATCCGTAAAAGTCACGTGTGTGTGCTTCAGTTTCTGTGGCCAAAACTGTGTCCACAACCTAGACACCCACAGCCATGACCACATACATAAGTCCACGCCCTGCATTAAGCATAACTAACATTCACCGAGCCGAGCACAACAAGACATTATCCCTATTTTACAGATGCAGAGACTCAGGCACAGAGTGGTTAAGTAACCTGTCCAAGATCACACAGCTCAAAAGAGGTGGAGCCAGGGGCCGGCCCCGTGGCGTAGCGGCTAAGTGCGCGCGCTCTGCTGCTGGCGGCCCAGGTTCGGTCCCCGGGCGCACCCGGATGCACCGCTCGTCAGGCCATGCTGTGGCGGCGTCCCATATAAAGTGGAAGAAGATGGGCACAGATGTTAGCTCAGGGCCAGTCTTCCTCAGCAAAAAGAGGAGGATTGGCATGGATGTTAGCTCAGGGCTGATCTTCCTCACAGAAAAAAAAAAAAAAGAGAGACGGAGCCAGGATTTGAACTCAAGTCGCCTGCCTCTAACCTCTCTTCTGTGCAGTAATACGTGGAAAACACAGAGTAGGTGCTTCATGAAGCTGAGTTCCCTTCCTGAGGTGGCCAGGGGGCTGGGACACGAGAAAGGACAGAGGAAGAGAATTGGAAAGGTGCAGTGAAAGAATCTCTCTGGAGCTCCTTTCCTTTTAGCCCCCCAAGCTCCCAGAGCCTATGAGGACCCACATCTAGTGACCCATCACGGGCTCTGATACTGATCTCTGCGGCCACCACGACTCTTGCTCAAGATTCTTTCCTGGACTCTTAGCTGCTCCAAAACTCACTGGCCAGCCTACTGCCGTCTGCCCCACCCTGCCCCGGGCTCAAGGCTGGCCGCTGCCCGGGACAGACAACAGAGACAGACAGAACTCCCTTGTCCTGATCTGTGCCCTGGGACACAGGGCACGGTGACACGGGACTGGGATTTGGAGGGGGGGCATCAGGGAGCTCAGAGGGTGGGGGCTTAGGAGCAACGACAGTTGAGGTGTGGCTGGGATATACGAGAAGGAGGTGACAGAGATGGAAAGTTCTGGAAAACCTCCTCTGGGTGAAGAACTCTCTCATGCCACTCATGTGAGTTCCACCAGGGAAGAGATGTTTGACTATCTTCATCGCTGTATCCCCAATGCTCAGGAGAGTGTCTGGTGTACAGCATGGGCTCAATGCCTATTTTTAGACTAAACGAATGAATTCACCCTCCAGGGCACAAAGGAGAGATTGTCCTCTTTAACCAACTATTTGTCAATTATTTATTGAGTGCTTACTATGTGCTAAGGTCTGGTGAACGAGCCACACACCATCCTCGCCTCTATGGAGCTCAGAGTCTCGTGGGGGACATGGATGTGAATCAAATAAACAACAAACTGAGGCCGAATTGCTACCTGTCATGATCCCTTAGCAGGTGAGAAGCTTCTGTAAGAAGATCTGCTTTAGTCAAGGTGATCAGGGAAGGCTTTGGGGGAGGAAGGAGAATTTTCACTGAGATCTCAAAAATGAGTGAAAAAAAAAGCAGAGGGAAAGGAAGGGTGTTCCACACAGAACACAAGGTGTAGCAGCATGTGCAAAGGCCCTGAGGTGGAAGGGAACACAATGAGTTGCACCAAGGGAGACAAGAGCAGGGAAACGGGAATGCGGTGAGTGAGGGAGAGCAAGGTGCCAGCGGAGTCTGGAAGGGTTGGCAGGGGCCCCACCATGCATGCCTTGCGAGCTGTGTCAAAAAGATGTGTATTTATCCCGAAAGCGATGAGGACCCACAGGAAAATTAGGGTTCGAACTTTTGAAGGATCGTTCTGGCTGTGGTGTGACAAAGGGCTTGAAGCGGGGGCAAGTGTAGGAGCAGAAAGACCAGTGAGTAGGTGGGAGTTGCTGGGGGATTGGACGGAGGGGCTGAGGAGGCAGGGAGAGTGGGCAGATGCAAGAGACTTTTTGGAGGCAAAATTGACCAGGTTTTGTGATCAACTGGATGTGGGAGGAGAAGGAGAAAGGTGTTTAAGGATTCTATACTCCTCTCTTGGCTCAGAGAGCCAGCATCTCAACTAGAATTTCAGCCTATGAGTGTCTGAAGTCTAAGCCCCCACTCTTTCTCCAGCACCACATGTCTCTCCTCTGTCTACACTCACCCTGGGTGCTCACATCAGACTCAAGGCTGTAAGGAACATCTAAATTCTAATGACTCCCACCTGTCCGTCTCCAGCTGAAATTCTCTCTATAATCTCACTGCCCAGTCTAGCTGCCGGCTCTGGTTTCCCTCTGGACGTCTAACAGGCAACCTCAAACCCAGCGTGTCCACCACTGAGCTCCTGGGCTGACCCCAAACCTGCTCCCCAAACTGTCTTCCCATCACAGTCGATGGAGCTCCAACTTCCAGATGCTCGACCATCTTGCGGTCACCCCTGACTCTGCTCTTCCTCTCCCTCCGCACATCCAGCCCATCAGCAAATCTGGTCAGCTCCGCCTTCAAGGTGCACCCAGAGTCTGCTTCTCACTGCTTCCGCTGACACCTGTCGCCCTGGCCCCAGCCACCATCCTGGCTCACCTGGCTTATTGCAGCAGCCTCCTCACCTGCCTCCTGCTTCGGTCCTAGCCCCATTGAGTCTAGTCTCCACCCAGAAGCCACAGTGATGGTTAAAACCTAAGTCACAGCCTGTCCTTCCTTTGGTCGAGAGTTTCCTGTGGCTCCTACTTCATTCAGAGTAAAAGCTGGGGGAGTCCTCTCCGTGGCCCACAAGATCCTGCACGATCTGCTCCATCCCTGTCTCACCTCACCTCCAACTCCTCTCCTTATTGCTCACTCTGCTCTAGGCACACTGTTCTCCTCATTGTTCCTTGGACAAACTAGGCACCATCCTACCTCAGGACCTTTGCACAAGCTGTTACTGCTGCCTGCAATCCTCTTCCTGCAGATATTCATATGGCTCACTTCCTCACCTCCTTTGAATCTTCGCTTACCTTTTTTTGTGTGTGTGTGAGGAAGATCAGCCCTGAGCTAACATCCGTGCTAATCCTCCTCTTTTTGCTGAGGAAGACTGGTTCTGAGCTAACATCTATTGGCAATCCTCCTTTTTTCTCCCCCAAAGCCCCAGTAGATAGTTGTATGTCATAGTTGCACATCCTTCTAGTTGCTGTATGTGGGACGTGGCCTCAGCATGGCCAGAGAAGCGGTGCGTTGGTGTGCGCCCGGGTTCCGAACCTGGGCTGCCAGTAGGGAGCGCATGCACTTAACCGCTAAGCCATGGGGCCGGCCCTTTGCTTACCTTTTTAATGTCTTCCCTGGCCACCATTTTTAATACTACAAGCAGCCCCTTTCTGCCTCATCCCCCACATTTCCAATTCCCTTAGCTTGATTAAAAAAAATTCTTTTTCTGATGATCCTCATTCTTTCTTGTATATATGAGTTACCGTTTGATGTCATTTCCTTTCACCCTAAAGAATCTTCTCTAGCATTTCTCGTGGTCTTCAGGCAATAAATCATCTCAGATTTAGCTTATCTAAAAATATCCTTATTTTATCTTCCTTTATTGGAAGGATATTTTCACAGGTTACTGAATTCTGGATTGACAGATTCTTTTTCTTTTTTTGGTACCTTAAAGATACTGTTCCATTGCTGTATGGTCTCCCCTGCAGTATAGTGAGAAGTCAGCTGATATTAACATCATTGTTCTCTTGTATGTAATGTGTTTTTTTCTCTGACTGCTTTCAAGATTGCCTCATTTTTGGACTTCAGCAGTTTGATAATAATGTGCCTGGGTGTGCTTTTCTTATATTTATCCTGCTTTGAGTTTACCGAAATTCTTGGATCTGTAAGTTAATGTCTTTCACTAAATTTGGTAAATTTTGGGTCATTATTTCTGCAAATATTTTTCTGTCCCATTCTCTTTTCCTTTCCTTCTGAAACTCCAATTACTGGTAAGGTAGATTGACTGAAATTATTTCACAGGTCTCTGAGGTTCTGTTCACTTTTCCTTAATATTTTTTCTCTCTGTTCTTCAGGTCAGATGATTTGTATTGATCTATTTTCAAGTTCACTGATTTTATTTCCAGTATTCTGTGAAGTCCAGCCAGTGAAATTTTCATTTCAATTGTTATATTTTTCAGCTCTGGAATTTCCATTTGACTCTTTTTTTATGGCTCCTCTTTCCTACCAGTATTCCCCAACTGTTCTTTAATTATGTATATCTTTTCCTTTAAGTCTTTGAACATACTTGTATTAGATGCTTTAACATCTTTGCATATTGCAATACTCATGTTATCTTGCAGTTGGTTTCTATTGACTTCTTTCTTTGTTGACTATGGCTCATACTTTCCTGTTACTTCCCATGTGTAGTGGTTTTTCATTGGATACTGGCCATTAAGCCTGATACATTGTAGAGACTCTGCATTGTGTTACGTTCCTCTGAAGAGTGAGTCTTGTTCTAGGAGGCAGTTGAGTTGGCTGGACTCAAACTCCAAACTCTGTTTTCTCTTGTGTGGACAGCAGCTGAAATCTCTGCTCAGTTCTTTCAAATTCCAACTTTTGCTTTTTCACCAGGCATCCTGGGGGCCCCTCTGAACATGAATAATTCAGTCAGCCAACAACTTGGATGGATTTTATATGCAGATTTTGGAGTTTACCTTCTCTGGGGCTCCCTTCTTTCCACAATTCCCTCCTTTCTCACTGTCTTTCTGGCTGATGCCAGCTCATAACTCTGTCCTCTCACACCTCAAGCCAGTGAGGATGCAGAAATTGCATAATGCCCACACCCCAAAGATGCAAACTCACTACCCTGCCCTTGTGCAGTTCCCTCATCAAGGGTAAATTCTCCTTCAGTTTTTGCTTGATTTTGATCACTCTCCAATGTCTCTGAACAGTGGATTGATTTTTAATACTTCGTCCAGATTTTATAATTTTTTATCTGCTGGACTATCTGTCTGACTAAGCTACTCTGACATAACCAAAAGTCAGAGGCCCCTCCTTTTTATTTTGTATCATTTTTATTTTTTTCCACATCACTTGTAACCTTGTAAAGTAGCGTGTCATAGATTTATTTATTTTATGTATTATGTTTCCCATCTGACATCCCCCACTAGGATGTGAGTCCCATGAGGGCCTGTTTTGTTACATGACTCACTACCCGTACCTAGAGCAATATCAGAGTGACATAATAAGCACTCAATAAAAAGGTATTGAATAGGGAAATGAATGAAGGGGTCTTAGAGGGGACCATGGGCTCTGAAAGATGGTGAAAGGTAACCAGTGGCTCTGACATGTGGTCATTCCTATTCTAGAAGGATGAAATTTACCTCTGCTTCCAAATGCCCACCTGAGGAGGTGGGCTGCCTCCACCAGCTGACCATGGCTGTCCAGTCTGTGTCCTTCATGGTTGGCATAGTGGTCAATGGGCTGGCGCTCTGGATGACCACTTTCCACATGGCCTGCTCTGTCACCACCGTCTGGTTCTTCAACCTGGCCCTTGCCAACTTCACTGTCTTCCTGTCTCTGCCCATTGCCATATATAGCACAGCCGCCGGCCAGTGGCCCTTCAACGACTCGGCCTGGAAGCTCTACCTGCCCTTCCCAGCCCTCATTTTCTTAACCAGCATCTCCTCCTGGTCCTCCTCTCTGTGGACCGTTGCATCTCTGTCCTCTACCCCATCTGGGCTCTAAATCACCACAGTGTGCAGCACACCTCCTGGCTGGCCGTCGGCGTGTGGCTCCTGGCTGCCATCACGTGCTCTCTGTACCTGAAATTTCTGACCATTGGAAAGTGGGAAGGATGTGTCTGCTGCTCCTTCAAGTTTGACATAGAGAATGAGGGGAGGGAGAACTCCCAGGATTGGAGGCGAGTGGCTGTGGAGAGGCACTTGGCAGTGACCATCATTCACTTCCTGCTGGGCTTCTTGGTGCCCCTGGTGATCATCAGCACCTGTGCCCACCTCATCCGCACCAAGCTCCGGCAGGAGGGCTGGGTCCAGGCCGGCCAGCTGAAGAGGTTGCTGCTGCTGGTGTTGGTTAGTGCCTTCTTCATCTTCTGGTTTCCGTTTAACATGCCGCTTTTGGTCCAATTGGGGTGATTTTTGATGCTAAGGAAATCTCATCACCCCACGATGCTGCTCATCCTCTGGGCTACCTTCTCCTTGGGCTGTTTCAACAGCTGCCTCAACCCTTTCCTCTAAGTCTTCATTGGCAGAGATTTCCAAGAGAAGTTTTTCCAGTCTTTGCCTTCTGCCCTGGCCAGGGCATTTGGTGAGGAAGGGTTTCTCAGCCAGCCTGTCCCCGAGGTGAAGCCCCCAGGGGGTGACGGAAACCTTCAGATGGAAGCTGGAAAACCTCCTGCTTAATCTGCAGACTCTTCTCTAGGCTGGCTTCCAAGACCCTGACAAATCCTGTGTCTTCTTTCAGGAAGTCTTCCTGGCAACACTTCATCTAAATCTCTGCATACGAGACATCTAGTTATTCCCCAGTATCCATCTTACCTTTCCTTTATAGTAAGACTCCTATTTGTTTTAAACTGTGTGCATAGTTAGCCAAAATAAAAAAAAGACTACATTTCCCAGTGTCCTTTGCAACAAGGTATGGCCATGTGACTACTTTCTGGCCAATAGGATGTGAGTGGAAGTAATGAATGTAACTTCCTTGAAGTGCCCTTAAAGGGAAAGGGGCCTGCCCTCTAGTCCTCCATTTCCCCTTTTCCATTGTCTAGAATGCAGGTATATCAGTTAGCTTCTGCTGTGTAACAAACACCCCAAAACTTAGAGGCTTAAAACCATAACTTTTTATGATTTCTTGGATCAGCAATTTGGGCTGGTCTTGGCTGGTCTTCTTCATGAAGCTGTGGTCAGCTATGAGTCAGCTAATGACTCTGCCTCTGGGAGAGGTGGCTGGCTTTCAACTGGGATGATGGGATTCATTGAGCCATGCAGCTCTCATCATCCTGCAGGCTGACTGGGGCTTTTTCACATGGTGTCTGGGGACGGTTCCAAGTGCAAGAGGGGATGTATGAGACCTAGACTTGACACTTTGTACAATGTGACTAGTTTCAAAGGGTGGGGAAATAGATTCCACCTCTTAATGGCAAAATCTTCCAGTGACGTTGCAAAGCGACGTAGACACAGGAAGGTGTGCAGAACTGGGGCCAGTTTTATAATCTGTCACAGCATTCATGGTGATGAGCCATGTGGAAAGCAACTGTGTCCCCATACTAGCCCTAGAATGCTTACAGTCATGCTGTGAAGAGAGAGATTTCAATTTCCAGCTCATTGAAGCCACTGTTACTTTGTGCCTCTGTTATAGCAGCTGAATCTATACTTTAACTATTAGTCGTCAACCATGTGTGAAGTGACGTAATAAATTTCCTTATTGTTGAAGCCATTTGGAGTCAAGTTTCCTGTTATTTGAAACCCATAGTAGCCATACTGTGGCACGCAGTAAGCACTCCTTTCTGGGGACAGAAATCCTAGTGGTCCCTGGTCATGGTGGACCATTCCCTTGGTTCTAGGTAGAGGCAAAGAAAATTTTCATCTAAACCAAAAGCTATCATTCTGCTTGTTCATAATCCGAAGAGGCAGCTCTGGTCCTGCTGTGATGAGCCCTGTGAACTCCCCTCTCGGAGCCTCGATTCTCTCGACTCCAAAATAGGACCGAATGCTTACATCTTTCACGGATGAGGAGAGGATGAAATGATACAATGACTGGGTATCAGGAAGGGTAGAGGCACCTTAAAAAAATAAGCTGGGAAAAGTGGTTTATTAAGAAACCCAAACTTTAATGTAGGCACATGATAAAAGGAAAATGATTCTCCTTCTCTTTCCATATCCTCCATTCCAACTTCTTCTCACTAGAGACTGTTATCAGTTTCTTGTGCATCCTTCCAGATATCCGACACATGCACAAGCATTTTTGACTCAAACAGAACACTCCATATACATTATCTTACATCGTGTGTTTGTGTGTGTTACTAAGAGTATATGTTGGAGATGGTTGCATAGAAGACGTCTGCCACATTATTTTTCAGTGTTTGTGGCTGAGAATTTCCCCGTCTGGATGACCTGTGCACAGAGGGATTTCACCGATCTCCTGCCGATGAGCATTTAGGTTGCCTTGACTAGGCTTTGATGATATTTTTGAAACTTAAAACTTATTCAGTATAACCCACATTCCGAACAATACAAAAGAGAAGTGGAGGAACTCCTTGATTTATCACAGCGTGAACATCACGCAGCTTAGCCAGGTCACGGAACGGAGCACTGTCAGCCGCCCCGGCCGCCCCCTCCCCATCCCCCCTCCATCTCCTTCAAAGATAACCTCTCTCATAACTTTTATTGTAAACCTTTTTTTGCCTTGCCTTCTTTCCTCTCAAGTATTTCATGTGAAACATTTCAAACCTACAGTTACAAGAATAATACATCTTCCAACTAAATTTATCAAATGCTAATAATTGCCCATCCCCTTATCCCATATATTTAGTCTTTCTCTCTGCTTCTCTCTTTCTCCTTATCTGCATCTCTCTCTCTCTTCTTCCCTTTATCTATCTATCTATCATCTATCCATCTGTCTATATATCTAACCTATCTATCTATCCATCTTTCTATCTATCATCTTTCCACACTTCTATGTACATACCATGGTTCCTCCATCATGATGAACAGACTGATGGGGACATGCCAGGTCTGGGAGGCTGAGGGAGAGAGCCCCCTGCACAGTTGCTGTTCCTCAATGAGCCCGGTGGTAAGAGACACTTCTAGAAAATTTTGAACCTTTTGAAAGTAGGTGCACACACCACGACATTTCACTTGTAAATTCTTTAATCTGTGTCTCTTAAGAACAAAGCCATTTCCCCTGCACAACCATAATATCATTACCATCCCCGAGAACTTTAACATTGATATTATCTAATAAACAGCTCATATTCACATTTCCTAGTTGTCCCAATAATGAACTTGATAGCATTTTTAAAAAAAATCAGGATCCTGCCATGATATTCTTTTTTCCCCTCTGCTAAAATGGACTATATGTTAAGTCACAAATACAGCACAAGCCAATTCCCAAGAGCAGAAGCAATACAGGCCACATTCAAAATTGTAGATTAATAACGAAAGATAACTGAAAACGCTTAAATTGTCTTGGACATTTCAAAACACTCTTCTAAGTAACTCCTGGACAAACTGGAAGACTAAAACTGAAGTGTCACTTTATTTAGAAATGAGCATGGTACACATCAAAACATGTGAGGTGGGGCTTGTTGGGGAAGAGAGAGAATCCCCCTCCGCCCTGTCCCTTAAGGTTCTTATGGCTGGCTAAATAATTAAAAGACAGGTTAACAGGAGAAAATAATACCAAGTTTAATAACATGTACACATGGGACAAACCAGGGAAACTGAGTTTCTCAACACAATTGCAGAGAGTCTCATCTTAAATACCATCTTCAGCCAAAGACAAAGGAGGATGTTGGGGGTGGCGGGAGTCAGTAACAGGAGATTACCAGAAAAGCACAGTAAACAAGAGTAAGGTTATCATGCAGATTTAAGGCCTCACCCTTCACATTGATAAGTTTTTAGAGATGAGGTCATCCCCCACCTCTTCCCAGCACAGAGAGGGAGACACTTTTAGAAATGGAGATTTCCCTTATAAATGTAAATGTTTGTCTGGCAGCTCCTAGCAGGGCCACCTAAAGAATGTGGCAGGGAGGAGACAGAATTTTTGATAACAGGGGCCTGTTGGCACCTTTCCTATTGTAACATCTATTTTACATTATATTATAGCCATCAGATAGTAACTCCTTCCTGGAACAGGTCTTCCATGCTAAATTCTTTAGGCAGTTAGTGGGAGAGGTCAAATGTTCGTCAGAGAAAACAATCAAGGTAAAGAGGCATATTTCAGGGTGGCCAAATCTTGATCTCCCACAGGCCAAAGCTGTATTCCAAGGAAAATCCATAGCTTTAAAATGCCAATTAGGAAAAAAAAAAAAAGTATGAAAGGAGGCAAGAAAAGCAAACAATTCAAGAGGCAGGAAAAAGAGCAATAAAATAAATGCACCAAAAATTGAAAGAAAGCATTGATAGATATTATTGAGGAAATTAACAAAAAAGAAAGAAACGGATAATGATAAGAAGCTGGTTCTCTCCCTCCAACAATAATGTTCTTTGACATTTGTACTTGTGTACTTTGGCGAATACTCCAAGAAGGCGGAATGGCATGCCGGCCACTTAGAGCTGGGTGACACCAGTGGAGTGGCTTCCACTCTCCGTGCCTCGGTTTCCACTTCTGTGTAATGGGATAATAATAGGATCCCCCCCCCAAACAGTCGCTGTGATGATTGCTGGGGTTAATGTGGATAAGGTGCTTAGTTCGGTGCCTGGCACCGCTGGGGTGCAGTGTAAATGTTTACTGTTATCAATATTGTCACCTGTTAGAACAGACTCTCCCAGGGCACCGGCTGGGTCAGGGGGTGTGTTCCACGTTGTCAGACTCCCCGCGGGGCGCTCTGCCAAGCTGTTTCCCACGTCTTCACCCCCGCAACCGCACTGTCAGTCTCTGATCTTCGCCTTCTCAGAGGAGAATAATGGGATCCCAGTGAGGTTTTTAATTTGCATTGATTTTCTAGTGAATGCGGTTAAGCAGTCTTTCAAGGAGACTGCGGTTTTTGGAGCCGCTGCAGGATTCTCCTCGGGGAGATGTGGTCTTTGGGTGGGAAGAGCTGGGGGTGGTTGGTAAGGCGGGTTTTGAGACCCGAGAGAGCGCAGCGGTGAGGAAACCAGCATTTCCTGGGGCAGCCTCCGTGAGAGCGGTGGTGGAGCATGCCCTAAACCACGGGGTTCAGGGACCGAACAATCTGCCAGAGACTGAAAATGCTTCTCTAATAAGATTTCTATGAGAACCCGAGAAGGCGATTCACTCCTTCATTCACCAGATGAGGACAGCTCACAGGCGTTGTGCACCAAGGCCTGTCCAGAGCTTTATAAACGTGTGAACTCCGGAAATCGGTATCTCAACTCCACCGAGGGTGGTGTACAATTGTGATTGTGCGCTTGTGGAAACCCGAGGCTCAGAGAGGTGAAGTCACTTACCAAAGGTCACACAGTGAGGAAGTGGTAGTCAGGACTTGAACAGTATGACCCCACCAGTCCATTCAGACCTGGTGATTGAGTGCCCTCGGGGGAACGGCAGGGTTCCAGGCACAGGAGATGGAAAAGGAAGGAGACAAAGATCCCTACCTTGGACGCACTGACCTCCTGGGCTGACATTGCAGAGGAGGGGCTGACATCCTGGGGGAGGGGCTGACATCCAGGGGGAGGGGC